TGGACTAGGAAGGCTGAGTGATCTGCTCCCCCAAGTCAGGGGAAAAGTGAAGAAGATATTCTCCTCCTAATTCTAATGGACTGTAAGCTCTTTGAGAACACAGTCCATGTCTTAGTCACCTTTGTATTTCTTGGCAAATGTGGAAGAGTGTGTTGGTGCATAGCATGTATGTTGTAACTGCTGAATCAAAGAATATAAAAATCCAAATTAGCCTGTCTTAGACACCAAGTAAATAAGGGGATAAAGTAACCAAGAGAAGGTGCTAAGATAGTAAAGTTGTTGAAGAAAAGGAGTTAAGTGAGTGATATGTCATAAAAATACTTTTGAGTCATGGGTAAAGGATCCACAGAACATGCCAGTACACTTGGAGAAGGCAGTACTACAATTCGACTGCTCTTGCTTCCACCTGCTGGTATAGGAAAGTAATTTTTTAGATTGGGCAGCTCTAGAAAAATACAAAAAAACTTTATAAAAACAATGAACTTTCAAAGTGCTCTTGTCGAGGTAACATAGTACACTTCCTATAAACAGCCCCTCACAAAAATGTACACCATGAACTCAGCTACAAATATTTGGAGTACAGAGCAGAACTACCATAAACACAGAGACATTCCAGTGGCTTTTATTCTGAGGAGCCTCCAGGTTCTGATAAAGCCAAAGCATTATCCATTTTCTTTCATTCTACAGTCCCTTTTTTGTCCTCACAAAGTAGTATTTAAATTTGATGACTAAAATGACCATTACAACTATAATGGACTTAGTCTTACATATTAAAAATATACTATTTATTTTGGAAACAGTGCCACATACAACCTCAGTTGTGTACAACTTCCTCTATCAGTAAGGTTCAATAGTAGAACCAGCCCTGCCGGTGTGGCGCACTGGTTAAGCATTGACCCAGTTGTGGGCTCAGTTCCCAGTGAGGGGCATGCAGGAGGCAGCTGATCAGTGATTCTCTCTCATCATTGATGTTTCGATCTCTCTCTCCCTCTCTTAAATCAATAAAATTATATTTTTAAAAAGTAGTAGAACCAGGTGGGGGGGGGGGGGGAGGATAAGAGATCAACCAAAGGACTTGTATGCATGCATATAAGCAAAACCAATGGACACAGACAGTAGAGGGATGAGGGTATGTGCTGGGGGGTGAGAATGGCCGGGGAGAGGTCAATGGGGGGAAAAGGAGACATATATAATACTTTAAACAATAAAGAATTTAAATTTTTTTTAAAAGTACTAGAACCAATTATATTATATAAAGTCTCCCTTGGGTTGAATGATGATTTACTTTCAACTCTTTGTTAAAATGTTAGTGATCCATTAAAAAAAAAAAAAAAAGAAAACCTATATGTTCACGTTGACCAATGTCACACCAATAAAATTTAAGTAAAAATAAATGAAAATAAATTAAAAAAGAGAAAAAAGCAATTTTATGTTAGATTTTGGAATGTAATAGAAATAAGTTGTTTCCAAACTTCATTGTAAATCAATGAAAAGGGACTCTTCAAAGTCACCTTTTCCAAGAAATAGGAGTCAGAATAAGAAATGATAGACAGAAACTGTTAAAGGTCATATGAAGAACTGGATGACATTAGAAATATTTATAGTATTTCTACTTGGCAAATAGAACTTTTAGGAAAAGTTCATATTATAAAATTCTAAAGAATTTAAATAAAAATTTAAAAGCTTAGGTTCTGAAAAATAAGAAATAAAAGATAATAGTCCAATTGATTTTCACCTAATTTTCTATATAGGACAAGTGGTTTAATTACTACAGGTTTGAAAGAAATTCATTATAAATAAACATGAGAAGATTTTTCTTCTTAAATCCTTTAGCTGGCTTAAGTAAACCCACCTTAAACCATAGAGCATCAAAAATAAAGTGCTATGTCACAAATGAAATCAAGACTTCCTTAATAATTCATTAGTAAAGGGGCTACCCACATACATGGAAAACCACAACTCAAAAAAGACATTCCACTTACTTTTCTCTAAGAGGCAGAATAAATTGCTTCTAGCACATTTAACTGGTGTTTGGGGTATACTTTTCAGAAACAAAATCCTCAGTATATTACTCATGAGAGAGCTCTCTCTTCAGTACATTATTCAATATTTAGGCTTTTTTTTTGGGGGGGGGTCACCTACACATGGTTATTTTGCTTAGTGAATGATAATGCCTAATTCCTCATTCTAGGCGTGGCGAATTACCAGTTTGCTTTAAAAAAGAAGAAGAACAAGAGGAAGAAGAACAAGAGGAAGAACAAGAAAAGGAAGAGGAGGAGGAAGAAAAAGAAGACGAGGAGGAAGACGAGAGGAGGATGAGGAAGAGGTGGAGGAGGAGGAGGAGGAGGAGGAGGAGACTGTTTCAATCACAGATAGGTATTTATTGTTTTTATATGTAACAATGGTATTATGATTATGCATTTTTGAAAATATTTCATTCTTAGTGCTATATACAGAAATATTTATGATTAAAGTAATATAATGCTGGGCATAGGTTTCTAAATAATTGCAGAAAGAAGAGGTACATGTAAAAAGCTTGGCCATGAGCTGTCAATTTTGAAGGTTGATGATGGGAAGGTTCATTATATGAATTTCTTGACTTTTGCTCAGAATTGAAAATATACATAGTACGAAGTAAAAATACTAATGATAACTTTATGTGCTTAGCTCTAGTTGCTATTCTAGACATGTGGGCTGAAAAACATATCAACTCAACATGAAAACAACACTCATGCTGACAAGCATATTAAAAAGGATAATAAATGAAGAAAACCTCAAGGGGAAACTAGAGCGCAGGTAAGAATATATATATTGACCAGTAATCGAAGATTCACAAATTCACAGCTGGAAGAGGCCTTAGAACTCAGCTCTTTGAAATCCTTTAATTTAGGATGAAGCCCAGTGATGTTAAGTCATGAGTAACTAACTAGAAGCCTATGCTTACGCACTTTACTTTACTGAGGATGTAGAGAATGTTACATTACAAATGGGTGATTAGGGAAGATTTAAGTGATATTGCTTCCTAGTGCATCTAAAACTTGAGGCTGATGACCCTGAGCATAGCTATCAGATAGCTGGCATGCAGTATAGTTCTGTGTAAGCCTCTAGCTGCTGCTTGGCCACTGTCAACCATCACTATCACTGCCATCAATAATAACAATGGCAACCATTTCTATAACAGGCACTGTTCTAAGTGCTTTGCATATACTGGCTCTTTAATCCTTCCAACAACACTGTGACATAGACTCTATTATTATCCCCATTTTTAGGGAGGATGAAACTGAGGCAGAGAGACTAAGAACGTACCCAAGGTCACACAGCTGGAAATGGCTAGTAACTCAGGCAGTCTTGCTCCAGCGTCAAGGCTGTCAAATACCATACCATACCATACCATACCATACCATACCATACCATACCACACCACACCATACCATACCATACCATACCTCTGCATTTTCCTCAGGTGTCCACATCTACTAACCTAACCCCGCATCAGTGCCTGCTACTTTCTTTTATTCTCTCCTGTCCATGCTGAGAGACAGGGAGACATAATCAGAGGGCATGGCCCACATGGCCTGCGTTGATCCGTGCCATGTCCCGATTCTCCTGTTGCTCTGCCACAATAATCCTTAGGAGCCACTGCCATTTACTTATGTGGGAAATAAGTAATCCAACACACTATGTGAGAAAGGAAAATAATGATGGCACCTTGTATTTCTGTAGTACATATTCATTCTGAGCAATTTTTACCTCAAGATGATAATGATTTCAATTATTTGTCTATGTATTAAGAGGCTACTCTTTAAAACAGGAATGGGGAACGTCTAGCTCGAAGGTTGTATGAGGCCCGCAAAATCATTTGGTATGGCCTTGCGAGGCATTAGGGGTGAGATAATTAAATGTTTGATCCAATATAGCAGGTTAATTTTTAAGTTGGTAATTCTGGATAGCCCACAGATGACGGTATAAACATCCAAATGGCCCTTGGCAGAGAAAGGGTTCCCCGCCCCTGTTTTAAAGTATAGAAGAGTTTCCTCACCGATAAAAAAAGCAGGTTTTTAAAAAATTTCCTAACAATGATGAAAGATGGGTAACTACCAATTTTTTTTTAGATCCTTTAGATTTGGAAGTCACGTTGAAAATAAAGGAAAGCACCTACTTGAATATAATACAAGGTCATTTACTTTCTTATAAAGTGCTTATTATGTCCAGGTGCTGTGCTAAGTGTTGTCTACGCATTATCTCATTTAATCCTCTCTCTATATAGATGAAGAAACCGAGGTGGAGGAAGGTTGAGTCAATCATTCCAAAGTCACACTACTAAATAAGTACAGATCTGGGATGTGAACCAGGCAATCTTACTCCAGAGTCTGAAATCTTAACTATTTACCCAAGCTGCCTCTTTCAACCTAAAAATGTGCTATTATTTGGTATAAGACAATGGGATAGAATAATAGAATTTCAGAATTGGAGGTTATCTAGACTGATTCTCAGAGAAAGCTTCTTGGAGATGAGGCATGAATAGAAATTATCCAAGAAAGGATGGGGTGGAGTGTGTGGAGAAGCATAAGAGCAAGCCTGGAATAGTGGGCAGGACTAAGCAAAGGCCATTTTCAATCCATGTCACAGTGTCCTCCGGGAATTACAACCACTTTGGAGTTAGAAGTTAGAATTAGAGAGAGATGAGGCTGGAGAGGTTGATAAGCAAGATTCCATGGTTTGTTTACCATGCTAGAGAGCTTAAATTTTGCACTGTGGGCAGTGGGAAGCGCCAAGTAGAGGGTGAGATTTGTATTTTAGCCAGGCACTCTGGTAGCTGTGGGAAATGTGGAAGACTGAGTTTAGGAGGCAAAGGAGACCAGTTAGGAGGCTGCAGTAATCCAGATGAACAATGGGAATTAAAAGTAAGAGTAGGTGCCGTAACCAGTTTGGCTCAGTGGATAGAGCGTTGGCCTGCGGACTGAAAGATCCCAGGTTCGATTCCGGTCAAGGGCATGTACCTTGGTTGCGGGCACATTTCCAGTAGGGGGTGTGCAGGAGGCAGTGGATCGATGTTTTTCTCATCGATGTTTCTAACTATCCCTCTCCCTTCCTCTCTGTAAAAAAAAAAAAAAAAAGTAAGAGTAGGTGAGAAAACAATGAATTTAAGAAATGCTCAGGAGGTAAAACTGGCAGAATGTGGTAAATGGTAGATGGTGGAACACAGCAAATTTTCCATTGGACAATAGAAAATGCAAAAACATGATCAGTTTTGGGGAAATACTGGTAGATAAATTTAGACGTTGATTTTTGAGTGCCTGTGAGATATGCCAGGGTATGGAAGCGTGGTGATTTGACAATTGGATATATGAACCTGAAGACTAGTGAGAGACAGAGACAGATGTCTTTAAACATGTAACTTAGAACAGACTGGAACATCTAAGCAGATATGTAGATATGAATAGTGGGGGAGTCTGAAAAAGCAGGGAAAGAAGTCTACCCACTGACTGAATTGAGGGAAGGTTTCAGACAGAAGGGGTTGTGTGGGAGAGACTTAGCACATATGTAGGCTCAAGGAAAGGAGACAGACAAGAGCTTTGCACAAGTTGAGAATAGAAACTTGAGAAAAACCAGCACTGGAGGGTCAGATGTCAGGAAAGGAAGCATGAAAGAAATTTGAGGAATGCTCAGAGTAAAGGAAAATTGGGAATTTGTTTCTCTGAAAGTCAAGAAAGACTGTGTGGCCCAGCATGTAAAGGTTACATGGAGACCCAGTCAAGTCAGGACTGGAAAGTATCCATTGGATTGGGCAACTAACACCCAGACTTCAAGTGTCATGTGATTAGCGACTCTTTCCTGTTTTGTTCTTTGGCAGCCACAATATGCTAATTCACACTGAATCTGGAAACAAGTCAAGGTTCTAAGTATTTCCTAAGTGCTGTTCTTATGCCATCCTGCTCTCACAGTGGTGAGCTGCTCAGCTTTAATCCAGGACTTCATACTTAATACATAGACTCACCTGAATATTTTATCAGTAGGTCATTTATATCATCCCCCAAGTCACCCATAAAGCATTTGTGACTTTCAATATCCACCTATAGTCAGTTCTTACTATCCAAGTCCCTAAGACTATACTATTTTCCTACCT